TTGTCTCCTTACTACTTCTATTCTGTTTAAAGTTCTGACTTTTCCTGGTATGCAGACAACAGGAACATTCACTCCAGTTTCAGTGGAGACCATACTATTGTACAGGTCTCACTTTTCCCAGTTCTGATACCAGTGCTCCATAATGGAAATCGAATTCTTCTTCCACGTCAGTCTCCACCATGCATTCACCTTTCTAATTTGCTTTGATTTGATTTCAGTACATGCTATCTTTCTGTCATCATCCACTTTAGGAAACAATCTATTTACAAACCAACAGATAAATTGCACCTTCATTATGGCTCAGTGGACATGGAGAAATCCTGGCATGCCTATTAATATTCCACCCTATTGTACTTAAGCCTGGGCACTTGCTCATTTATTTGTCTTGCTATGCACAGCAACTCTGCAGAAGTGTCCCCATAGGTTCATGACAAATGTTGACTATTCTGTATGTACCATTTTTATCTGTACCTGCTTGTAACCTACAGTTTGTGCTTCCATCTGTTCTCTAGTCCTTTTTTGATATCTGCATTATGTGGATGTACACCCTGAAATCATTGTTCTCCAACATGTAACACTAAACTGTCTATTCTATTTAAAAGGCAACCACACAAAGCTTATTCTATTATTGTAAACCCAACCCTTCTTGCTCCCATAATATCCTCTACATAACAACAATTGCATTTAGAGCATGTTTTTTCCTGAGAATTTTTGATTTACATTAATCAGACTAAAATTGAGACTGAGTCAACATTTAGGATAGATAACTAAAACCTTTGGCTAAAGAGGGATTTCGAAAAATGTATATTTTATTACCTCAATGTCCCAAGTATTTTACAGTCTTTAACAATGCTTTTGAAATGTAATAATTTGTTTAATTAGTGTAGGGAATATGGCAGCAAATTTCTGCACAGGGAAGCCCCAAAGGCAGTCATGTTATTCAGAGTGGAGCACATCCTGAGTGTAGTATGGTGTGCAGCATATTAAAACATGAGGGAGGTATATGTAGAGAATCCTGAAACTTGGGGCCCAGGCAGCGATGTTCGAAAGCTGAACTATTGTGAATGGGAGGTACTTAATTGAGTAGCTGGTTCTGAGACATGAAGACTGCTTTCTGGATTTCTGAGCATCCACTGCTTCTACATAATATGCTAAACAATCCAAATTTATGTGGAACAATTTTCTGTATTCCTGTAGTTAAAGCCAGTTAATTTACAATCATGCTTCAGGTAGCTAGAGAGGGTTCTTGTTATCCTTTTAAACCTCTTTTTGCGATCAGTAAACACAATTCAAGGTTAAGGAAGTTATGGAAATGCTGACTCTTTGACTGAACCTTGGTTCTGAGCAGAAAATTTTAGATGGGGAAGTTGTGCTTCTGTTTCACTTCTTTTTAAAAGTAGTGTCTAAATTCATTTGGTCAGAAATAGTGTTGCACTCAAAGTATGTTGTGGGTTCTGACATCTCAAACTCCTTTTTCCTGTTCTGGTGGAAAATCCTCTTCCCTTTTTTTTTGAGGTTTTGCTTTTCTAAATTACCAGGATGTTGATGGGGATGGAGAGTCTGAGACCTGAAATTAGACCGGAAAGACTGGGACTTCTTCGTTGGAGCACAGGAGTTTGAGGGGTGATCTTAGAGGTTTATAAAATCATGAGAGGCAATAATGTGACAAACAAGAGTCTTTTTTCCTAGAGTGGGGGAGCTCAAAACTAGGGGGCATATTTCTAAAGTGAGAGGGGAAAGATTTAAAAGGCTCACAAGGGGCAACTTTATCTTTTACACAGTGGTTCATGTGTAAAATGAACTGCAAGAGAAAGAGGTGGGTGCAGGAATAGTTATGATGTTTAAAAGACATTTGGAGGGATATGGGCCAAGCACAGACAGGTAGAACTAGTATAATTTGGGATTAGCGTCAGCATAGTCTAGCTGGGCTGAAGGGTCTGTTTCTATGCTGTATGACTGTCTCTAAAATGCTTTGAGTGCAGTCTTGGGTGTAGACACCAAGTGGAGAAGTGCAGAAATTGCAACAAACTATTTGAACTTGGTTGTGATACATAAGTAAAATCCATCCAATCATTTCTTTTTTCCTCTTCAAAACTGCAACATGATTCTATAACATAATGGCCCAGTGGAATTGGTCCAACTTTTTAGTGATGCTCTAAGCCTGGGTTCAATATGTGCATTTCCAAAGTGCTTTATTGAATTCTTTCGGTTTTATTTCAACTTATGATTTTATTCTGGATCACTCTTCCTTTTTGCAACTAGGATGTGCATTTAGGATGTTCTTTAAATGCAAAAATAAAATTAGTTAACATTTTAGTGACTTTCTATAGCAGTCACCTCCTTCCGTTGTTTCTTGGCTTGTTATACCATGCTTCAATCTGTCATCTATCCTTTCAGTTAGATGACTGGTGATGAGTTTAACCTGGGGGTGGGTCACCACATTTTGGGTGAAGGGAGGGATTGAGAAGGCAGGGTTTTCACTATGAAGTTATCATCCTGCATTGCAAATCAGCTACAAGCCAACTGAGCTAACACAAGACAGGATGATGTATGTATTGGATGAGAACTTGCAGGGGGTGGTGATGCTGTGTGTCTAAGACCTTGTCCTTCTAGGTGGTAGAAGTTGCAGGATTGAAGGATACTTTTGAAGGAGCATTGGTGATTGGATATTTCAGATAGGTTACTAATGGGATAGTATTTGGCTCGATTGGATTTCTCCTGCTTTTTGTGTACAAGACATTACTAAGACAATTTTACACCTCACTAGATAGATGCCAGTGTTGTAACTGTGCTAGACCAGCTTGGCTAGGCGTACAGTTAGCCTGCTCATCCCTCTCTCCTAGAGGGCAATATGGCTAACCAACAATGGCTACATCCTGTGGTTACTTTTTAAAACTTGCTCAGCACTTACCTACTCGGTTTGGGTTCTGCCAGGACTACACTTCTGACCTCCTCTCAGCCTCAACCTAATCATGACTAAGAGTCCAATCCTAGCAATGGGATGAGAATGGCAATCCTTAGCATTGAGACAGCACGTGATAGTGAAGCATCAAGAAGCCTTAGTAAAACTGCAGGCAGTGGGAATAAGGGGGTAAACTGCCCCCTGGTTATTGTGCCCTACCACAAAAGAAGGTGGCTGTGGAGGTCAGTCAAGACTTTACTACAGGAGTTTCTCGGGGTGTCTTAGACCTAACCACATTTAGCTGCTTTGTCAATAACCTTTCCTCCTTCATAAGGTCTGAAGTTCACTGTTGACTGCACAATGTTTGGCACCATTTGTAGCTCCTCATACTGAAACACTTGTTGTCCACGTACAACAAAATAAACAACGGCAATGTTTGGGTTTGGGCTTGAGCTGATTAAATGACTGGTAATATTTGTGTTACACCCAGAGCTTCGACAATAATCATGAGCAAGCAGGAATTTCCCCGATCACCCCTTGACATTTCAATGGAATTGCTGTTGCTGAATCTCCCACTGTCAATTCCCTGGGATGTACCTTTTGACCAGAAACTCAACTGAACCGACCATTTTAAAAACCTGGCTACGAGAGCAAGCCAATTTTTTTTTTTTTTTTAAAAGAAATTCATTCATGGGGCAAGGGTGTCACTGCCTAGGTCAGCATTTATTGCTCATCCCAGAAATTAGTTAAGAGTCAACCACATTGCTGTGGGTCTGGAGTCACATGTAATCCAAACAGGGACCAGACATGATGGCCTGTTATGCTGTAAATTCCTGATGAAGCAGTAATGGATGCTGAAAGGAGATGAACAGCTCAATCTTGAAATGGAGAGAAGGGACCGAAAGAACTTGGAGTTATACAGTGATTTATTGCACTCTAGGGATATCTGACAGTACTTCACAGCTAATGAATTATTTTGTTGAAGTACGTTAACTTGTGTAGGTGAACACTACAGCCAATTTGAGCTAAGTAAGGTTCCACAAACACAATAAGTGGAGTTGGAGCTGACTCGCGCTATGTTCTTGGAAGCTGAATTACGTGAACACTATACAAATAGAAGCGGATAGCCAAGTTCCATACCCATGATGATGGCCTCAACCATGATCTTGGGTTCATGCCATGCTACAAGTGACTCCACTGCACTAGTACTCTCTCCTGCACGCGCATACAAATACTGTCACTCGCAAACTCTCTCAGATTTTCTGTCTCACACTCTCATCCTCACATACACTTTCTCGTACACATTTGTGTATTTGTAGATATGTTTTATTTTGTTTTTATAAAAACAAACAGCCTGACTCCAGGTTAAAGCGCACAGATTCTGAATAAGGCCTCACACCTAAAATGCATTGTCTGACCTGAGAAGTCACCACCTTGGATACACTGATAAGGCCTTTAATTATCTCTGGGCAATGACTTGAAAGAGATTCTGGGATTTGCATTTTAATCAATAGAAACCTGCATCTCCTTTCTAACTGATTAAAGATTCAACAGGAGGCAGTCAGCAAGCCATTTTTAAGGTTGTTACCTTTCTGCATATAAATTCTGTACACCTCCTCTTCCACACTACTCCTGAGGAAGGAGCAGAGCTACAAAAACTAGTGTTTGGAAAGTGTTTGTTTTTAAACCTGTTGGACTATAATCTGATGTTATGATTTTTGACTTATAAAAGCAGCTGAAGACATTCACACCCCAATGTGATTAATGTCACAGAAATTTCTTTGAAGTTTAAACAAGGATGCAATAGATCACGCGCCTGTGGATGGCATTGTCTTCCGATTAACTCTTGCCTTTTGAATCAATCTGCACAGGCCTAGAGCCTATTTACTTAAAATAGTCTGTTTTTGATATTTGACAACTATTTGGAATGTAGCAATATTTAAATTCCACTCAGCCATTCATAACCCATCATATTTTGATTAACATGAAGGTTAAATACATGAACGCTCTGCAGTTGACAGCCTAGATCCAACTTAGCACATCTGCCTCCATCGCCTCTTTCTATGCTAATGTGACCCTTCTGTGTTCCTCATTGCAGGTTCTGACAGTTTCCCTTGTGGTGTCTGTGTGGAGAAGGCCACACACACTCCATTACAACGACGGCTTTTGCTTGCGTTTTCCAGTGTTTCTTCTGTCAGAGAGTGCACCAGGCCTGTAACTCTTCGACTGCCAGCCCTGAGCTCAGCAGCGAAGAACACCCGTTGGAAATGGTAAAGATGACTAAATCAAAAACCTTCCAGGCTTACCTGCCAAACTGTCACCGGACGTATAGTTGCATCCATTGTCGAGCCCACCTGGCCAATCACGATGAGCTGATTTCCAAGGTAAGGCCTTGGTGGAGGAACTACTGGGTTCTAATTTGCAATGTTTATTGCAGGCGGGTAATTTTGCTGCTGGTGGCTGACTGGAGACCCGATTCAGCTGTTCAGATGTCCTGGTTGGTAAATAGAAAGTATGAAGTTTCTAACATCAGTGTATGGTGACTTAGTCTTCGCTTGAATTGGTGGCACAAAGATCCATTTTTAGACTAGTATTCAACTCTGAGCACTCATTGTTGAAGTTCCAGAATTTGGACCAATGAGTTGGTTTAGAGAACTTGTTAAAAGGTTTGGATTAGAACTGAAATGGTCAAGAGTCCTTCATGGTCCAGTACATTCAATCTAAGTTTCCATAGGAAAGGAATTGTTTTCAGGCTCTGCGGAATTGAGGTCAATTGGATACTGTTCCAGTACAGGGACAGAATACCAATTGGCCACATAATATACTGTATACCTTCATCTGACTGCTGCAGCAGTGTCTCTTGTAGTTGAATAGCCAGCTGATGATAACTGCCAAGGCTGAACATGTGGGCTCGGATGTTGTACCAAACCTGCACAAATTCTTGCCAGGAGTCAACATCTGCCAGATGTTGGGGCACAGGTAATGAAGATAATCTTAAAAGCAGTACAGCTTTGCTGTTATATTTTGTTCCTGGCTTCCATGCCATTACTGCCTGATGGAAGGTGTTTGTATTTTCTGGGTTTTTTCTTTTGTCTCTGTACCTGCCTGTGCAGTTTCTGTTTACCAGTGTACTCAACTCTGTGCTGTGAAAACCACAGATGCCTGTTTGAAAGATGTGGGTTTATGATAGTTGGAGAGCCAGGTCTGGCTAGCATTTGGATGGAAGCAATGAGGACTTTTTTTTATTTGCAATGGCTGTCTAGGGAGGGGAGGTGGAGGAAGTAATGTCATGGAGAGGCTGAAAACAGTATTGGTACAGGGTGTTGGAACTTGGGTTGTACCAGGAAGAATAGCCTCTTTCCTTTTCAGCTAAAGCTTTTCCTATTGCGACACTCCATTTGTTTCTGTGGGATTACAGAATGATAGCTAATACAAATAACAGCCTTTTGCTGCCCAGAAATGTTTCTATTTTTATCCTAGTACTTGACAGCAATGACCAGGTTTGTTTGTATGCTGCTTCATCAGTTATAAATTGAAACTTGTGTATGAGAGGAAGAAGAGTTCCCAAGTGAAGACAGAAGGTTTAAATGTGTTTTCTTTTGCATAGGCTGACAGACCTGCACTCCCTTTCTCCTTGATGTCCAATCAGCTAGCTCTGTAGCTGGCAAGATTCTGCAAACAAAATTGCAAACTCTGACACTTTACTCTTATTCCCATTCTCTTATTTTAATTATTAACTCATCCTCGGCTTAAAGAGCCCAATTGGCTGAGGGAGGTAACGGTTTCAAATTTCCGCAATTTCTCATTCCTCATCTTTGGATTTCCTGTTGTTTAACTCTGTGCTTTTTTTTTTTTGCCTTCCTTTCTTCATAACATGTTTAAGTTGGGAATTTTACAAAATCCTATTTCCTTTTGTTTTCTGTTTTCTGTTCTCCCTTCTTGCCTTTGTAATAGGATTCAACTGACTGTACACAGTGTTTCCTCTCCGTCTCGTACCCCTCTATTATATCTTGTCTGTGCATGTGGGAGTGTGTCCTTCTCGGTCTGATTTATGCTTTTTTTTTTCTTTTTTGGTATTAATCCTACAGAATTATTAGCCTCATGGATGCCTGCCATTCCTGGGTAAACCAGACTTTCCGAACTTGAGGCGGAGTCCTCTGTTGTAGCATGAAGTGGAGTTGGCAGTGAACTTGAAGAAATTTGTGGAACCTGTTCCCCAAAAGGATGTATTTAATGTACTATATTAACCCCACATATCCTATGCAGTTGAGGAATTTCAAACAACCTGATCACTCTGACTGGAATCGCCTGGGGTTTGGAACCTGGCTTCGGAATACAAAGTGTTAGCCAGTGCAGCATCTGTCCGCTTGCGATTGGCCTGTTGTTCCTACATTGCTGGGGTATACTGATTTGTTGCCGCACCTTTTTTCCTAGTCACTGTTCCTTTGCTTGTAGATGAACCATCAAAACAAAAACTGCATGAACCAAATGTGTGTTTGTTGCCTGAGTTTCACTAGTCATGGCTTGTGTATTCTCTGTCACTCGTGCAGATGTACAATGCTGAAGGAATGAGCAGTTACAATTTCACGATGTTGGATGTGAGAAGTCATGGAAGGTCTATTGGTGAAATCCCCCTTCAGGCAGGAGACAAATTTGGCCACAATCGGCATGTATAAATAGTGACTGGCAATTCTGATGGTTTGTCGAAGCCTTCGTATTTGGGACTCGGGGCAGTGGAGGGGGAAAGTGGCAACACAGTGGGAATCTACATAAGCATTGTTTGACCAGGGGAACAATAGTCCATGGTGGCAATTTATATGGCTAATCTTTTTTTGAGCCATCTTTTGTTTGTTGCACCTCCTTGATGCAAGTCTTGCATTTTGTTTGCCCCTGTGAATGTCAGCAATCTTGTGAAGTCTTTTAATTTCTCTCCTCTGCACCACTATGGCTGTGTTTGTGCAACAGAAGAACCATTTACCTCTGCTATCATGAATGAAAGCTAGTCCTTTTATTCACTACTGTGTTTTCAGAACACTTGATGCATAATCTTCCCCTTGTGATTTCTATCTCTTGCTTGAAAAGCCTTTTTGTTTTCTTGGGGGAAAAAAAAAGTTAACTTCAGTCATGCTTTTGGTTCTCCCCCTTTATTAAATGACTTTCTGTTTCCTATTCCATGACCACCTACCTTGGTTTGCAAAACACTTGAACGCTTTTGCATAAGGGATGTGGCATAAAGCAGTTTGAGTTGTGCGTTTACATCCTCCTAAGGTTTAGAACAACCTGGGGCAAATTAATTTGACAATTGTAACAAAATGTTTCTTCCCCCTGATGTGTTGGCGATTAAGTGAGATGGTTATTGAGCCCTGGAGAACATTGGCCACTTCCAATACCTCGAATATCCTGTCAACCAAAGATACTGAAGAAGAGATCCAGCACCACCTCCAGTCTGCTAGCACAACCTTCGGTTGTCTGAGGAAAAGGGTATTCAACGACCACGTCAGATCTGACACCAGGAACTTGGTTTACAGAGCTGTGGTGGTTCTTGCTGTCCTATATGGCTCTGAGACGTGGACTGTCTACAGCAGACATCTTAAGGAGCTGGAGCAGTATCACTAAAGATGCCTGCATGAGATGCTGCAAACCCGCTGGGAAGAAAGACTCCTCAACAGCAGTGTCCTCGAACAGGCCAACATCCCCAGCATCAAGGTACTGACCCTCTTGATGGGCTGGGTGTGTCTCCCACATGACTGACATAAGTCTACTCCCAGCTCCAAAACGGCAGGTGAGCCCCAGGTGGACAGGGAAACACTTCAGGATACTCTGAAGGCCTCATTCCTACAGTGCAGCATTCCCACAGACACCTGGGAATCATTGCCCCAAGACCATCCAAAGTGAAGGAGGAGCATCTGGGAATGCGTCAAACACCTCAATATGCCATTGCGAGGGAAAGCAGAAGCCAGGCAAAAATAACATAAGGAGCATGTTGCCGCATCAATGCCCCACCCATCCCTTCTCACGACCACCTTTTGCCCAAGTGTAACGGACCTCGTGGAAGTCACATTGGACTGTACTGCCATCTATGGACTCACCCGGAGAGTGGAAGAAAATCATTCTCCTCTGTAAGGCACCACTGATGATGATATTGAACTTCTGATGCATTTTTAAGTAGAGGTTTTTGTTTCTGGAAGTCACTAAGATGTCATCAGTTGTTGTGATGTTTCATTGGAATAACCGAAACATTGAGCTGTTTGTATGCTCAAGTATGTTTGTTAAATGGATTTAATTTTGGAGGGAAGCTGACTGCACAGGCCTGGACCCGATAAGTAAGGGACAATCGGGTTAGGTTCACTCACCTGTGTGGGGTATGTTCTGCCTGTACCAAGAACCAACCAGGAGCAGTCTAGGCACTTGGGACTTTCCCAACATTCGTCTATGCTACCCATTGCCTGTGATGTGGCCGATTTTTATATTTGCCACCAAAGTGGGAGTGGGCCTGAGGCTGTACCTCAGCAGTAATTTATGTTCTTTGCCTGTGTGGACCCATCACTGAGCAAGTGGAATGGATTACTCTGCAGTGTAACTGGTGGGTGATTCTTGTAAATGGGTTATAGGCTGACCTCTAACATTGGTTTTCATCCTTGGTGACCTGTGTAGCTATGGATCTCCAGTACCAGTCAACGCAATTGCTAAGTTTAGTTGCTTATAAACAGCTTTTTTGGTTCCCTGTTAGCATTCAGCCACCTTCTTTGCAGTGAAATAGTTCTGTTGTGAACATTGCATTCCCAAAGCACAGAGGCTAATGAAGCAGTATAAAACCACTGGAGAGCTGCAGTCTCCCTCTAGATTAGCTGACGAGGATGGTACATGAGAGAAGTTCTGGACTTTCCCAACTGTAACCTTGTACTGCCAGGAGAGGTGTGGGTTTCCGGTTGGTAATGGAAAGATTATGTAATCTGGAACCAGTCAGAACTGCTTGCTGCACACAGTTGATTTTATTCCCGACTGATGTCTGCCTTGCTCTCTAATCAACTTTGGCTCATATTCAGCAACAAATAAGTACTTATGCCAACTTATTAATGGAATTACAGTGTGCTGTCCATAAGTGAGTTGAAAATCTCATAATTCTGGAGGTGGTTTCATGGTTCAAGCGCTGTAGTTCTGATTATTAAATAATTCTATTAAGCATGAACATTGTAAGATCTAATTCATCTCAAATGTCGCACACTTTTTGGAGGACCTGCACATGATGAATCTGGTGACTGAATATTCAGTGAGAGCCATTTTTTTTTTCTTCAAAAAAAAACTCCCAAGAGTAGTAGGAAGTTAAGTACAATTTCAATGCAGGCACTTTGTCAAGGCCACCAATTCTCCTCCACCTCTGCTTTTGTGTTGGAGTTTTGAATTGAGATGTAGCAAATTTAATTTTAATTTATTAGAACTGGGGCGCTGGAAATCTGAATCAAAAACCAAGTGCTGCAGAAACTCATCAGGTCTGACGACATCTATAAAGAAAGAAACGGAGTAAATGTCTGAGTAAATGTAAAAGTCCAGTGACCCTTCGCCAGAACTGAAAGTAGCTAGGAAAGGCCAGTATTTATGCTGATGACGGTCTTGGGAAAGGAAGGAGTGAAAAGAGTACGTGGAGATAATGCTGAGGAGGAGGGAAAAAAAAGACAAACCATAGGATTACTAATTAGCTGAGAAGGAGATAAATGCTAGGCAGAGTGTAAATGGTGCAAAATGGGTTGGCAGTGTTAGGAGCAGCCCATGCAAAACTGGATCCAGCAGTGTGGGGATAGGTAATGAACATGCAGTGTGATCGCGTTCTGAAATTGAGTTTAACAGTGCTGAGCCCTGAAGGCTGTAAGGTACCTAGGCAGAAGATGAGGTGTTGTTCCTTCAGCTTGTGTTGAACTCTGGAGCATTGCAGCAGGCCTGAGGCAAAAATGTTGACAAGGGAATGTGGTGGTGTTGAAGTGGTAGGCAACTGGAAGCTTGGTCACTTTACGGGCAGAGGGTAGGTGTTCCCTAAAGTGTTTGTGTGTGTTTTTTTTTTTTTTTTTTTTTTTTTTTTGGTCTGTTTTCATCACCCCAGTGTAGAGGGAACCATGTTGTGAGCAGCAAATACAGTAGACTAGATTGAATGAAGTACCTGTAAATTGCTGCTTCACCTGGAAGCTGTCTGGGGCCTTGGATAATGAAGAGGGAGGTGTCAAACAAGCAAGTATTGCACCCTCTGCAGTTGCATGGGAAAGTGAAGGAGGAGTAGACCAGGGACTGCTCTCTGGGATACCTTGCAGAATGCTGATGAGGGAGAGGAATGTGTCTGGTGGTGGTATCCTGCTGGAGATGGTGGAAATGGTGACTTATGATCCTTTGGGGTGAAAAGTGAGAACTGGGGCACCCTATCTTTGTTATAGAAGAGAAGGGGTAAAAGCAGAAATGCAGGAAATGAGTTGGATATGTCTGAAGGACCTGTCAACTGCATTGGCAGGGAATCTTTAAGGGGGGAAAAGTGGATATTTGACGATCGTAAGTCTCTCTTTCTGCCATCAACAGAGACAATATTCCTCTCCCCTCCTTTGAAAGCATTCTGCAGGCACCATTTCCTCTGGGACATCCTGGTGCAATCCTCCTTCACTCCAAACACCTGTGCTGTGTCCCTAAAATGTGACCTCAAGCTTCTAGTTGCCTGCCACTTCAGAACACCATGTTCCCGTGCCGCATTTCTGTCTCAGGCCTACTGCAGTACTCCAGGGAGGCTCAACTCATCTGCCCAGGCATCGGAGCACAGAACAGTGCAGCACTGTAACAGGCCCTTCAGCCTGCCAAGACTGTGCTGACAGTTACTAAACTAAAAATCTTTTGCCTCTACATGATCCATATCTCTCTATTCCCTGCCTATTCATGTATCAGTCAAGTTCCCTCTTGAACGTTGCTATTGCCTCTAATACCTCCTCTAGTAGCACCTTCCAGGCACCCAACTTGCTTTTAAACATCTCCTTAAACATATTGCTTTTCACCTTAAACCTACGTCTCCTGGTAATTGACATTTCCACCCTGGGGGGTTGGGGGGAAAGGCTACAACTATCCATTCTGTCTATGCCTCTCATTACTTTTGCAAACTCCCATCAGGTTGCCCTCATCCTTCGACCTACAACAAACCAAGTTTGTCCAGTCTCTCCTCGTAGCCAATGTTCTCCAAACCAGGCAACATCAGAGTAAACCCATTTCTATACTCTGTCCAAAGCCTTCACACCCTTCAGGTAGTGTGGTGACCAGAACTGTGTACACTATTCCAAATGTGGCTTAAGTGAAGTTCCATACAGCTCCAACATGACTTGCTAGTTTTTATACTTTATGCCCCAACTGATGAAAGTAAGCATGTCATATGCCCCCTTGACCACCTTTATCCATTTGTGTTGTCACTCAGGAAACTATGGACATGTGTGCCTAGATCCCTCTATGGTGATGCTACTAAGGGTTCTGTCATTTACTGTATACTTAGATCTCCCAAAACGGATCACGTTGCATTTGTCCTGATTTAAACTCCATCTGCCATTTCTCCACCCAAGTCTCCAGCTGTATTATCTGATCATCCTCCAATCTTTGTCCACAAATGTACTAATCAGGCCACCAGTCTGTAAAACATTCCTCTGCCACGACTGTCACTGAGGGTTAATTTCAGAATGTGATTGTCACCACCCCCCTCCCCTCCGTGTTTGCTACCTCAACAAGGTCCTGTCTTGACTTTGCTGACAGCAACCCATTTTCCACCACTCTCACCTCTCGTTAACACCCTGCCCAACATTTATCCCCCTCTCAGCTTATCGCATTCCATTTGTTTGCCTCTAGTTCTTGTTTACACTCTCACTCTTGTTGCTCATGCTCATGTTTTGAACTTGTTATTTGTGACTATTTTGTAGTTCTTCATATTGTAGAATACTGAACATGCACTCGGCCTCAGTCAAACGTCGCTGTCAAATGATATGGGGTGTGTTTGAGTGCCCATCTAGCGAGCGCAAAGGATTCTAAATGTGCTTCTTGTTGGGTATGCTTAGGAAGAGTTGATAATATTTCAGGGGCTATCTGGCTTCTCTTTAAGAAACTGCGTTTCTGATATTGACTGTTTTCAGGTGCTTAGTTGCCAGACTGTATGTAAGTTGCCCTACACCCCAATTTCCTCACTCCACATCCCATTGTCCCAGTGTGACCAAATGTGAAGGATCATTGAGGTTAAGATGGTCAGGACTTTTAAATCTGAAGAAGACGTTTTTTTAAAAAATCGAACTATGAAACCAAGTTCCTTTTTTATTTTAAAAGTATCGTTTTGGTAGTAAACAGGTGGTTTCTCTTGCTGACTAACCTGAGTCTGTATGTCTGAATACCTTCTTAATTAGGGTCTTTAGTTTAAAGGAGACCTTTTTTGGGTGGAACCCACATGGTAATCAGTGTGGAAATTAGAGCTCCGCTATTTTTATACAGGGTGAATTCAGTTTGAAGCCTTTAGTTCCTTTAGTCCCAAACATGTTAATCTCTACTTTTTTTATCTCTTTCAGTCGTTCCAAGGTAGCCAGGGACGTGCATACCTGTTCAACTCTGTGTAAGTGTTTGCTGATTTTTAAAAAACTAAATTTAAAATTATAAAATTTAAAAACTTAAAAGGGCTTTAAAAAGAAATGGGCAATTTTTTTTCACGCAGTAGTTTGTGTGTGGAATGAACTGCCAGAGAAAGTGGTGGTTATGGTTATAGTTATAATATTTAAAAGACATTTGGGTAAGTACATGAATAAGAAATGTTTGGAGGGATGTTGGCCAAGTGCAGGCAAGTGGGACTAGTTTAATTTGGGATTATGGTCCACAGGGACTGGTTGGATGTAAGGGTCTACTTCAGTGCTATATGGCTCTCGCTCTGTTCTTTGGTACCTATGTAGCCCTGCTTTGCCTTAGTTTAGTTTTTCTCCCAGCTCTCTTTGCAGTTAAGCCTGCCATCAAGCCTTTTTGGAGTTTGAATTGTAAGACCAGAAGCAGCAAGTACCTTTACTGATTGGCTTTACTGATTTGAATCACTTCGCAATGGAGGTGTTGGTTTATGGGACTTGATTTCAGCTGGCGATGTTGCTTTCACTCCCATCAATGACATAGAACATAAAATTGCATTAGGCAAGGGAATGAAATGGTTGGAGTGTGTTGTTTCGTATATCCAAAGAGCAGTCCCCTCAGTGGCTTACTATTAAAGACATTTAAAGCTTTGAGTTTGAACTCAACTTGTTTTTGTTTATTCTTTTAAACTTACTGAGTAGTGATGTTGTTAGTGCAATGGGTAGGACTCTATCATTAAGTATCCGGACTTGCTTGTGCAAAGAGCACAGGTCTATGTCACTGGCTGTTTGATTGCTAAATAAGAAATTGGACTGGGGTGAGGCTGTATCAGAGTAAGTGGTTTGGAGGATAGTTTCTCCTAGGTTGTAGGCTGGGTGTCTGGGTGTCTGGGTGGGACATTTGAATATGTAATAGGTAGTGTTGGAGTTCTTCTCTTCCCATATTAAATGCCTGTGTCTTTTGGATATGGTAGAGTACCTGCTGGTGCTAGGTTATGGGTGTTTGCAATTTCTTTGCAGTATTTGGAAAACCCTCCTGTGATTTTTTTTTAAAATATATTTTTCCTTCAAATGTCGAATTATATATGAAGTACAGTGCAAACAAAAATTTCAGGATTACATGGCAACATGCTGGTCTTTGGATCGATGGTATGGGTGATTGTGGGTCTTTAGAAAAGCGTGTACATGGAGTCTTACCAATAACTACTTTTTTTTTCTTTTTGTTTAGTGCAGAGATTCTCTGAGACTCCTGTTCTTTTTTCCCGGACGCTACCACAGCCCCCAAAGGGAGCCCAGCAGTAGTGCTTGTATTTTCCCGAAATCGTCCGTGGCTGTACTAAAACTCTACTCTATATTTAGCAACCAGGAAAGCGCCCATGTGGCTAGTGAAACCTTAGTTAGCAAAGCATAATAAGGGCAATGCCTATGTGAAAAAAAGTGAAGGGTTGGGGTCAGGGAGAGAAGGAGGGGCCTAAATAAAAATAGACCACTAATTTTATACCTTGATGTATGCTGCCTGGACAAGTCCTTTTCTACGCTTTTTGTTGCTTTTGACTTCTTTTGAAAGTTCTAATCCTCGTGAATATTCCCAGTTTCACACGCTTATCAATTCAATAAAAGAATAGATATTTCAAAAGTAGAATAGCGGTTTGAATACAGTATGGCTTTGGGAAGCTTTTCCCTAGAGTCAGTAATGGGACTAGGGTGTAAAATTGCTGCAAGCAAAGTAATCTGTTGTTTCTGTAAAATGTGTTTTTGCACTTCTGCGCTTATACATCAGTGTTGAAATCCAAGATAACATTGTACGCAGTACCTGTAAACAAAATAGAGAATAGCTGGTATGTACAATGCAATACTGTTGATTTTCAGGAATGATTATGGAGTTGTTAAGGGCACTGCTTGATTTTTTTATTTAAATTTTTGGGATTGATCTAGGAAGAACTTGTAATTATTGGAGAATGAAAAGTCTATGATGTAATAATCTGTCAAGAGCTTTGGACCAAGCAGACTTGTTAGGTTGAATAGGCTTCATACTTCTTTGTATACTGAACTAAGGAAAATGTAAGGGCTGGTCTCTATTTTTGAATAACTAGGTGCTTTTAAAGCTCCCTGTGGCTCCATAAGATGAAATCTACTTTGCCAGTTTAGCGGCTGTCTTGAAATTTCTCCCTTGTATAGTGGGAAGACAGTTGGAAGTTAAACTAATTTTTCTTTGTGATTTTCATAGCTCGTGATGTAGGTTGTCCTCTACTTCTGAAATGTGCTTTGTGTAAACGTTTGGCTTGTGTGTCAGCAGATGGTTTGGCTATAGAAGTTGCTGTGGTTGTTTGCCAATGAGTGTCACTAGGTAGTACCTGTAACTGGGCATCTGCCTCATGGTGTCCCTGTCAACACCTCTAGAGTTGGGATAATTGGTTAACTCTTGTGGAATTGGACTCTCCTGTTCTTTCAACAATTTTTGTCACCCCATCGAGTGGAGAGGGTAGTGTAGTCGGCCTCATTAGGGGCATTTAAGTGGCAATTAAATAGGCATATGGATGATAGGGTAGGGGTGGATGTTAGATAGACCTTGGATTTAGGGTAAACGTTCGGCACAACATTGTGGGCCGAAGGGCCTGTACTGTGCTGTACTGTTCTATGTTCTATGGATTTCAGTTTCAAGCCAATCATTTGAATATCGGCGTGTGATTTTGATGACTTCCTAAGTATGCAGTTATAGTTATATACCATAAGATTGAGCAGCAATTTCAAGCAATGTATTTCCTTTTTGGCAAATTAAAGGATCTTGAACGGGAGAGTACTTTACTTCTGTGCCTCTTTTTTGAATAAAATAACAATGATTTTTTGTGTTTGCTAGCTTGGATTAGTTTGTTCATCCTGCAGTGATAAATGATTTTTAAGGCTTCCAAGGTGCAATAGAGACTAGGTAGGCTAGGATAGTTTTCCTTGGAGCAGAGGTATTTGGAGAGGGTGGGGGATAGATATCAGACTGAAGGCCATAGGATAGATAGGGAGAAACCTTTCCCCTTGCTATACTGCTCAGTAACCAAGACCACAGTTTGAAGGGGAGGAGCAGAAGGTTTCGGAGGGATTTGAAAAAATGTTTTTTCCACCCAAAGGGTTGCGTGTCTAGAATTCACTACCTCAAAAGATGGTATGGATTGGACCCCACGAGATACTTAAGCAGTATACTGTGGCATTTCAAGTGTTTATCTAAATACAAGGCCACAGATCAAATGCTTAAAAAGTGATTCGCATAATAGATGGTCTGACAGTTGTGGACACTATGGGATGAAGGGCCTCTTCCATGCTGTAAAAGCTCTTGACACTCTTCGCTGTAGTTGAGAGGAATAATGAGACTCAGTGCTGAACTCTTATAGACCAGGGAGATCCTGCAGTACTGAGCAGATTAAAATTCTCTGTGTAGAGAGAAGTATTTTGACAACTGCTGATGTCTATGGGCTGAACATCTGAGACGGAGGGTGAGTAAATGGGCCAAGTGCCCCCTCTGTTTGCACAGTGGTTATGCTGAGGCATGTATATGTGTGACTGTCTGAGGATAAGATTGAGTTGGCAGTAATGCTGTTCTTGAGCAAATGTGGACACTTTGAGATAGGATCTTTGGGCTTCATTCCACTACTTGTCTCCCTGTTCTTTCTCCCCCATTCTTTAAATTTCACTTTCTTGCAGCCTTGTATCTTTTTAGTCACCTTGTTCATCACACTCTAGGGCAATTAGGGATAGGTGTTAAATGTTGACCTTAATCTCTAGGGCTCAGATTCTGAGCGTTTGGTTTTTTCTGTAGTTATTACCCCTACCCCACCCATTCTGACTCCTTCAAATAGTCCCAACACCAACCCTTGTAGGACTTGAGTGCTCAGTGCCCATGACCATTTCATTGTAATTATCAAGACTTCAGGAAAGATTTTGGTTTTTTTTCGTTAACTCGGTTCCACCATCTTCCAAAATGATAACAATACATATTCAATTAAATTTTTGAGACGGGACCTTCTTGTCCTATCCCTTCCATCTGTACCAATCTCAAACAGCTCTAAAGAAGAGGAGCCTTGTTTAAAGCAGCTGAATGCAAGAACTTCATGATCGGGAATTGCTGTAATTTTAGAATTTTATGTAGAAAAGCACAAAAGTAGGCATAAGCCATATTTATGGTTCATGTATACATGCTCCCTTCCCCTCTATCCCTCTTCATATAACCCAATCAGTATAACCTTCTGGCATGGGCGTGGGGAAGGGGGTTCTGAAATAATAGGGAGAGAGGGGGAGGCGGATAGAAGATGGATAGAGGAGAAGATAGGTGGAGAGGAGACAGACCGGTCAAAGAGGCGGGGATGGAGCCAGTAAAGGTGAGTGTAGGTGGGGAGGTAGGGAGGAGATCTGTCCGTCCTCCGTGGACTGACCTGTCAAGGGGGTGGGATGAGGCGATAGGTGGGAGGAAGGACAAGTTAGGGAGGCGGGGACGAGCTGGGCTGGTTTTGGGATGACATTTTTCCCTCCCCACCCTTATCTGCTTTCCGGAGGGACAACTCTCTCCGTGACTCCCTTGTTCGCTCCACACTCCCCTCCAGCCCCACTTCACCCAGCACTTTTCCCTGCAACCGCAGGAAGTGCTACACCTGCCCCTACACCTCCCCCATCCCAGGCCCCAGACTTTCCACATCAAGCAGATGTTCACCTGCACATCTGCTAATGTGGTATACTGCATCTGCTGTTCCCGTTGTGGCCTCCTCTACATCGGGGAAACCAAGCGGAGGCTTGGGGACCGCTTTGCAGAACACCTACACTCGGTTCGCACTAAACAACTGCACCTCCCAGTCGCGAACCATCTCAACTCCCCCTCCCATTCCACAGACAACATGTCCATCCTGGGCCTCCTGCAGTGCCACAACGATGCTACCCAAAGGTTGCAGGGACAGCAACTCATATTCCGCTTGGGAACCCTGCAGCCCAATGGTATCAATGTGGACTTCACAAGCTTCAAAATCTCACCTCCCCCTACCGCATCCCAAAACCAGCCCAGCTCGTCCCCGCCTCCCTAACCTGTTCTTCCTCCCACTATCCCCTCCTCCCACCTCAAGCCCCACCCCCATCTCCTACCTACTAACCTCATCCCGGCCCCTTGACCTGTCCGTCCTCCCTGGACTGACCTATCTCCTCCCTACCTCCCCACGTACACTCGGCTTTACTGGCTCCATCCCCGCCTCTTTGACCGGTCTGTCTCCTCTCCACCTATCTTCTCTATCCATCTTCTATCTGCCTCCCCCTTTCTCCCTATTTATTTCAGAACCCCCTTCCCCTCCCCCATTTCTGAAGAAGGGTCTAGGCCCGAAACGTCAGCCTTCCTGCTTCTCTGATGCTGCTTGGCCTGCTGTGTTCATCCAGCTCTACACCTTGTTATCTCAGGTTCTCCAGCATCTGCAGTTCATACTATCTCCGGTATAACCTTCCATTTCTTTCTCCGTGTTTTTTTATGTAGCTTCTATTTCAGTCTATGTGTACTGTTTACCTTGTGCAAGCATGTTCCACATTCTAACCACTCTGGGGTAATGCACTTAAACATCCATTTTATATGTAATCAAACTGGTTCTTTCTCACTTCTCTTTATCTCTGCCCACCCCTTACCACATTCAAACTAGCTTACATTCTCAAATCCAACCTAATGCAACTGAGCGGTGTTTTTCTGCTTTCTCTTTATATATTTATTTTAAATTCTTATTTCTTAAATCTGTTGCTCCAAAAACTTGGGCTGCATTTTAAGTAACTGTAACACAGATCATATTATAATAACTACTTGGATTTGTAGAGCATTTTGTAAAATGTAGTAAAACAATCTTAGTGTTATTAAGCAAAAATTGACATCACACAAAGATAAAATAAGTGACTAAGACAAAATATTGATCAGAGGCAAGTTTTTAAGGACCATCTTAAAGGAGATGGCCTTTGGCAGTTGAAGGTTAGCTGATATGGTGGAGCAATTAAAGTTGGGAATGCAGAGGAACCAGCATTGAAGGAGCACCGATAAGTTGAAAGTTGGGGAGAAGGGTCAAAATTAGGGCTATGGCAGGACTTGGAAAACAAAGATGTAACCTCCAAAGCTAGATGTTTCTTGAGTGGCGCCCACTGCAGATCAGTAAGCACAGGGATGATTGGTGAATAGAACTTAATGTAGGCTTCATAAGTTTATGGAGGGTGGAAGATGGGAGACTTACTAGTGCATATCAGTCTGGATGGAACCAGGACATCATCATGGAGGCAGGAGTGTTGGGAAATAGGGAAAAAAATGGTCTTATTGACAGCCCAGGTATGGAGTTGGAAGCTTGACTCAGTTCATAGCTTGTCTGATATACCGTAAGTTATGAACAGCCTGGTTCAGTCTTGGTTTCTGGGAAGGTGGGTGTCTTTGGTATGGGGAACTGAAGATGACTTTTGTTCTTCCAACTATTTAGAGGAAATTTCTGCTCCAGCAGTGATAAATTAGAGACTGGGAGAATTGGTGAAGAAAATTTAGATACCATTTGCAAATATGTGGAAACTGACCCTGTTTTCTTATTTGGATATTGTGGATGAGGGCAGCATCTAAGTGTAAAATAGAGGGGGCCAAGGATGCCCCCTCTGATCCACCAAATTTGAGCATCAAGCCAGTTGCTCTGGGATAATCCTGCCTTACTGTTACTTTGTGCACAAGTGATGTGTATATTTGTGAACATCAGTATATAAAACAAGACCCTGTGTTGGGTAAATTGCAATGGTTGTAGTCACTGTTCTCTACATTTTCAATCTACGGTTGGCTTGGGACTGTTTAACTTCATCTTTCTGCCTTTCATCCTTTTTATATTTTTCTGTGCCTCTGTTTATTAAAAGGTTTTTGTTCCATTTCATTGTTACCACTTCCTCTGACCCCTGCTTCACACTTCTTTTTGAAATTGTAACAGGTCTACACAGATTCACTTTTATTTCATATTCGACAAGGCTCTAATTTCTCGGAGCTTTTTCATTAGATTTTATGGCCTTTTGTCTGAGACTTGCATTGCTTTCATCCTTTCCCACAATCCCCCTTCACTGGCTCACTCACCCATTTCTCTTCACCTGTCTCCTCTTCTGGAAAGGTGAGAACTTCAACTCGTGTGATGATCAAAGATTGCAGTTAGGAGGGAAAATGTTTTAACTGCACAAAAAGAGGGTACTGACAAAGTGTAACCTGGCTGTTGGTCACTAAATTCTGCACTGTAAGTTCATTATGTACAGCAAACCAATGCTTGCCAAGGCCTTGTGTTCTGGAATTTCCACCTCTACCTCCCCATTATTTTGTGTTGCACATTAAACTTGCCTCTTCTGCCATGCCACCCCTCCTTGCCCCATCCCAATATCAACGTGGCTTTGTGTTAAATATAGTTTAATGTGACTCTCTTTGGAACATTTTTCAGGATACTTCATAAATGTAAGTTACTTTCTAACATATCATAATTTTGAATCACCAGTTTTTAAAAAAAAAAAAAAAATGCTCCCTGTAATCTCGGTAAAGTTGTAAGTGTATGCAGGCAGTTTGGCATAGAATAATAGTTGCAGCTGGACTTTGTAATATCACTTGTGACTTTTGATTAGCGTTGTTTTAGCACTCCGACAGTGTAGGAAATCCAACTTAGTGTAAAGTGAATTTTCAAAAAGATGGATACAGCCACAAAAGTTTGAAATGATAACATCTTCAGAACTTAGAAGGAAAGAGTTTGGTGCAGCACGTTACAATGTAGATTTTTCTTTTAAACGTGGTTGATTGGCAGATTTGTTACAGAAGACAGCACCAGAGGAAAGAGAAACTATTTACACACTGTCCATAACTTTTTACCTAAGTAATTGTGAAACTACTTTTAAGTTTGATGGGTTGTGGGTTTTGCTGGTTGGCTCAGCATTTATTGCCCATCCCTAACAGCCTTGGAGAAGCTGGTGACGATCTGCTACCTTCAACCTGTGCAGTTCATGTGGTATAGGGCCACATGCAATGCTGAGACAAGGAGTCCTAGGATTTTAACCCAGTGACCATGAAGGAATGGTGATATAGTTCCAAGTCAGAATGGCAAGTGGTTTGGAGGAGAGCTTCCAGGTGGTGGTGTTGCTATGCATTTTCTTTTCTACAAAAGGAAAGGCCTTGGTGAGTTACTGTGGTCCATTTTGGGGATGGTGCACAACGCAAATATTGCAGGCTACTAGTATGTGCTGTTTTGTATATTGTCTTTAAAATATTGGAGACAGTAGTGGAGAAATTATGGGATTTTCCAGGGTATTTCTAGTATTTTAGGGTGCAAATGAGCTGGGTTAAATGCCAGACTCCCCATCTCCTCCATTATTTCAGGACAACCATGTAATATGGGGCTGGAAATGCAGCGTAGCATTTTTTGTGTTTTAGGGTTAATGACTCTAGTGCATGAAGATGAGCATGAACTGAAAATCTTTAGGGCAGTATATTTAGAGCAGGTGTAATATGATTGCCTCTTGTTCCTCCCCAGAGTGCTGTTTGTTTTTCTTTTGTTACACCAGGCAGTTTGAATGTGGGGAATAGGATATATATCCCTTAATGTGAAGTAAGGGCACAGAATTCCTGTCTCCTCTGGGTTTGGGTCCACAAAGTGCCCATAATTTCAACAATTATTGTTTACCCCATCTCCTCCTCTATTAATGCTGAGATTGCTGTTTCATGATTTATTGACTGTACTGGCATCTGTATTTTGGTTAAACTAATCCAGCTATATTTGTATCACATTTGTCCTCTCCAAGTTCCTTCCTGTTCACTTCCCATGTCTCTAACCCTAATGTTTCCAGAAGTTCGAACATTGACTTGTACTAGTTCTCCAAATCAAGCTATTGTTTGCTCCTTCAATCTCTTAGCTTTTAATCATTGCCACCCTCAACGTAATTTCCTTCTCAGCAATATAATGCAATACGATGAAGTCATTGGGTATGTTGTGGCTCTGTTATAATATAATGGTTGATTATGTGAAAAGCAGTAGACTAACTACTCTGATCTTTCTCCTGTGTAGGGTGAATGTGGGCTGTGGTCCTGCTGAGGAGAGAGTACTGCTGACGGGATTGCATGCTGTAGCGGACATCTACTGTGAAAACTGCAAAACCACTCTGGGATGGAAATATGTATGTCTCCTTGTCATTGTTGTTAGATTCTGCAAAGTGCTGCTGGTTTCCATTTGGTGTTGGGGGATTAGTGTGAGTGACAGTGGAGATGAGGTCTTTGGCTCCTTGTATTCCCCACCACCCCTTTGCATGTCTGACTGATCACTGATACCACAGCAATAGGGTTCCTGCAAGTTTGACGCAGGAGATGTTCAGAATGCACTAACACTTTAAATGTTCAGATGAAGCTGGCTATTAGGCCATTGGGTCAAATAAAACCGGGTTGTCACCTGGTTAGCTAACATGAGCAATTTTTCCCATGCCTCGTGCCACCATGGAGTGTACTGTCCTTCTAGGTGGCTGCTGTACAAGAGATCTTGGCTGGGCTGTTGAAACAGAGTCTTTCACTCCCTTGTTAAGTGGAATTTATTCTGAGGGAAGAAAATGGAGCCTGTTACTTGGCTGCAGGGGCAAAATTAATGGACCAATTTTAGCTGTGTAAAATGGAGTTGCATTCTTGCAACTTTCCCTTCTTCTTCCTCTTCAGATGTATCTTGGGAAAGTCTCTTTCCAGCTGAACTTGCTCAGAAGTGTTCATTCCCTGCCATTTTTTTGGCTTACTTCCTTGTTTTTTGTTGCTGTCCAGTCATTGCTGAATAAAGGCTGGATCAGGTCTCTACTTGTCTACTTCCTCACTCATGGGGAACTCAACTTAGCAGGTGATATGCTTATCTAAACAAATGCTGGAAATACTCAGCAGGTCAATTAGAACCTTTTGAAAAGAGCAAAAATAGTTAACAGAGCTCTCTTCCACACGAGCTGTCTAATCCAGCATTTCGTGACTAGAGTTTTGTTTTGAAAAATAATGAAACAGCAATTTCAGTTTTGCGTCTTGCAGCCATAGTAGCTATGCCTAGGCTGACCACCCTTTTAAGAGTGATAATTGAATTCTCCACAAACAAAACTGGCAGTCAGCTGGAGTTCACCCTGTCTGAAGAACAGGTCATAATTGCATAGGTGGTATGGACCTTGCATATTGGGAATGAAGGCATTATTGTACACTATCTGCCAAGTATGATTTCCTTACAGTGGTGCATTTGATCAAATCACCTGAAAGTAGTTTTCTGGCCAAGTTGTTGGGTAATATTTACTATTGGGGATCTGTTTCTGCCCCCCTGACCAGTGGCCAGACCGCAAATCATTGGTATTCTTAAAACAGGGCGAAAAACGTTTGTTTGTTTATTTTTCATGTCACTGATTTAGAAATATAGATATCAGAATCCATTCACCAGTCTGTTTGAGACTGGTGTCAAGGGGAAATGGGGTTTTTCTCCAGTCGTCCGTTTTGTAGGAAACCTGTTTAGGCAACCTATTCAATCCCAAGAGATGGGTGAGGAGTGCACATCAGAGGCACACGTAGAATGAAAAGGTTAAGAGGACCAGATGGCCAATTATGGGTATAGACTGACACAAAAATATCCTAGTAAGGAACTGCTTGTTCTTTGATAAATCTGGGCACAGTGAGATCACGAGTGACAGACTGGGAATTATACTTCAGGAACGAGGAACATTCTGAACCAGAGAAAGTGACCCAAGTGCATGCAGTGACCAATTTTGCATGGGCTGGACCACAGTGTTGGATTATTTATTTCACCATACTGGTCAGTGTTGGGATCACTTGATCACACTGACGTTCTATCTTGCTAATATTTTATGGTTCAGTCTCCATTTTTCTGTTGGTCACTTTGGGTGTTTGGACATTTAAGCTGCTATGCCTTTATTTTACCACCTCTTCCTCGCTGACACTGTTTTCTTTTCTCTCTCCAGGAACATGCCTTTGAGAGCAGTCAGAAATATAAAGAAGGAAAATTCATTATTGAATTGGCCCACATGATTAAAGACAATGGGTGGGAATGACCAGCGTGGTGCTGACCCCTGCTGCTATTTTAAGACTGTATGAGGCTGATCTAATGGACAGAAAATGCTCTGCTATGGGACAGCTCTAATAACATTTGATGACATTTTTTAAAAAAAAACCTTACAGCTGAACCATTGATGTCGCCTTCTTGTCAGCCCTTTTTGCTTTTTTAATCTCTGTAGGTTTGGTGTTCTCTCCTGTGAAACACTGTAGACATCTATAGAGGAATTGTCCTTTTCCTGCGCTCTTTACAGTTTGAGTGAAAGGAGAATAATTGAAGTTTTATTTTTGGGAAGTGTAGCTTTACAAATGACTGTTCTGAACTTGGCTGTCCTCCCTTCCCTGTCTTTAAACTCCACTGTGTATCTCTTCTATTGCTGTGCATGCTTTTACACTAGAAAATTGGATGAGCTGAGCAGCATAGAGAGGGTTGAGGAGGGAGTTATGTATGTATATACATATGTATATATCATACATCATAAATGTAGCAATTTTATTTTTAAAAGCAAGTTGTTTCGGGGCTTGGGATAATGGTCGCAATGTTATGGCATTGAGATAATTGAATCCCATTGGTTGCAATTGATTTCTTCTGTTACTTCCAAACTGTGGCTGATGTCTAGGAGGCAAGAATCTAGTGTTCAACAGCTGCAGTGTTGGTGGGGAACAGTTGGGTGAGAAAGAGGAACCACTGAAATTCTTTATAAAAAGAAAAGACATGTGGCTGGTTCCATGTATTGCCGTACACTAATGCACTGGACAAAACCAGGCACAAAAAGAGGTCTTCTGGATGTGATATGCATTTTCTAAGTGTAGAGCTGGGCTCCTCGTCTGTGGACCGTTACGACTTTAACTGAACGCAGGAAGTTCCTTTGCACGTGCCTGGGAAATGGGGATTCAAAACTAGACCCACAATCAGAACTTTGTTTTTGTTCCTTTTAAAATAATTAGATATTTTTACCTTATCGCATTCTCCTGTTCTGATCCTTGCCCCCTAGATTTATTTTTTGGCGGATGGCCGTTCCCTGTTGGAGTGTGGATAGTTTTTTTTGGGTGCAATGGTTTGCTGGTTAAATCATTTTCTTTTGTCGTGTGGGCTCACTACATGCAACAATGCACTCTGCTGCTAAAAGTCTCTTGTGCAGTGTTAACAGGAAGGTCTATTTAAAAAAAAAAAAAAAAATCTGCTTTTGCGTGATTCTCTTCCCCACCCCGCCTTTATTTTTTTCATTTTTAAAAAAGGTGTTGTCCCAAGTGAGATTGCTCTCATTTCCTATCAAATAAATGGTGTTCTTATCACCGCTTAAATGTAACTTTTTTTTTGCCTGCACTCTTGCTGTCAGAATTCTCTTTCCCTGGTGCGGTGCAATGATTTTGGAATTCTTTGGGGGAAGGGTCCTGGTCACATGAGCACCGCTGAAGGAGGGGGAAAATGGGGCCAGTCTGGTTACTGAGCCAATTTCCAGCAGGGTCACACTACAGAAATTATATACTTGAAGCAGACTACAGATCGAAAATCTTGTTAAACCAGTTTCCCTATATATATAAACATTTTTTGTACATTTAGAAGAAAAAAAAAGCATATTTAAGGTTTTATACATATTTTTACTGGGTAAGTTGATTTTTGCTTCCCCTGCCTGAGCACTTTTGTTCTCTGGAACTTGTCTTTTGTTTCTATAACACACTGTCTCTTTGTAACCTGATTTAAAAGTTGTTTTTCTTATTTTTGAGAAATTCTCTCCACTTTTAACTTCTTTTATTTTTAGTAAAATAATTGATTTTTGGGGGTGGGGTGGTGGGGGTGGAGGCAGCTCTTCCTGGACCAATCGGGCAGAACGATGAGCTGGCCAATCCCAAGTGAAATCTGTCAGTTTAGCCTTCAGAGACATGGTAACACATTCTTTTTAAACTTTGTATTTTGCTTTCCCAAAATCAAAATGATAGCTGTCTTGGTTTTTGTTCTCTGTATATTTGAACTTTGAGTTTTATTGAGGCTTTAGGGTGTTAATATATGTCCAGTATGTGAGCAGTGCTCTGCAGAGCAATGATTGGTAGTGACTGGTGCAAGGGTGAAGCAACAGTCTGAAGTGTGCTTTCTACAAGAATGGTTGATGATATTACAAGTTCTAAAGCTTGTTCTACATTAGAGATGTAATGATTTTTGTGCCTGAATTCTTTTTATAATTTTTGAGAAATAAATGTTTGAATGGTTTCTCCCCCCACTGCCCCCCCCCCCTTCCCCTATAGCTATTGGGACTATACATTGCTTTGCTGATCTGTCTTGAAACTACATCAACTTTGTGCAGCAACTCACTGTATTGTACTGAAGTTAAAATAAAGACTTTCACCAGGACACAACCTGTCTGTCAGTGATGGTTGAGATATGAGCAAGGGTGTGAAGCACACAGATAGGGGTCTGTGGCATTCATGTCATGGCAGCTCTCCTTCACAGAAACATGGAGTTGTAATTGAAACATTCCCAACAATTTTGTTTGCTGATTTTTGTGATCGTTCTTGTGTGCTAAGGATATACCACTCTGGAGTGAAAGATAATTCCTCTAACATTATTTGGTGAATTTTCCTGCATTTGTTTTTCCAGAGGATGGCACACGGATGCTGAGCTTGGTGTGTAGAGTTTAAAGGCCGAGTGCAGTTTTTGAACTGCACTTTGGGATGGAGCTTCATCTTCTCTAAAATGTCCCAAATGCTTCCCTCTCAATTGGCTTGAAGTGGAATTATTGGCCATTAACAGGTGGAATGGTTAGATTTGAAACACTTACCTATACTTTCTCCTCATAGATCCTGTATTCAGTCTTTTAGAAGTGTAGACCTTGATTGATGAAAAGACATGTTGTCAAAAAATGTCCACTTATCAGGACAATTCATAAGAAATATCAATGTAAAGGGAACGAGTATACCGTTTGCAAAGACAATACTGATTGGTTAGTCAATGGATTCTGATTGGCAGGAGTGTTGCCTTGGAGAATGCATGATGACCGACTATATTGTTTTAAACAGCTTGGCAGTTTTAAAACCTGACCGGTTGGCTCTGCTCAGTCAAGACATTGCCCTGAGGAATGCGCCAGCAATGGCTATTGCCTGTTATATTGAGATGAAACAGATGGAATGTGTACAGCGCTTTCTGTCCAGAAAGAACAGGGTTCTGTGTATTAATATAGTCAGCTTCCAGTATGCAGACACATAAACATGTACACACAATGGTGCCTATTTCAACATATTCTTTCTGCCTGCATTCTAGAAGCTGTTTATATTAAAACACACGGCCCTGTTCTATGCAGACAAACAGAATGTGTACACAAATTTATGCTTGTTTCAACTTTGGTGAATGGTTTTTGCCTATGGTTGGTACGTTCTTCACAACAATGTCTTGATCAATCAGAGTTAACCTGCTTGGCTTAAAATGCAACTGTCAGTCATCAAACTAGTGCATCGTCCCTGGCAATGTCTTTGCCAAAGTTCACTTGCCAATCAATCAGCGCTCTCTTATGTAGTATAAATGTGTTCCCCTTTGCATTTTCTGCCAAATGCAAGGAATTCCAAATCTCAAGACACAAACTTTGACTATCACTGGAAAAAGACATTTTGTTAATGTTTTCTATTTTTTGTTGCAAGGAATCTTGGCTCCACTCAATTCATATTGACTGTTGAGTAAACCAGATTACAATTTTTCAGTTCAGTTTTGCATTCCTGTTCCATATCTTGTGTTTTGACTACTTCTGAAGACTGCTTCCACTTCCATAAAGGTCTCAGTGTGAATGCAGAGTTATTCACTAACTACATGGATTGGTTATAGTATTAAATATTCCAAAGCACTTTAGAAGTAAAATTTTGATACTTAACATCAGGACAAGTGACACGCAGCTTGATTTTGGGGAGGTAGATTTACAGAGGGGGGTGTGGGAGATGGTAAATTTCGGGAACAAAATATATTGTCATGAAATGCAATCAACATGAGTAAATTTATTAAGCAATCCCTGGTGCTAAAATTAAGCATCTTTCAGAGCACTTGTATTTTGTGCAATGAACCATTTGTCACTTGGGCAGAGGCTGTCCAAGAGTTGGTATGTTCACCAAATGTTTTGTACTCCTCTAGACATGTACCCACAACAGGAAAATTCATGAATTTATCTAGGTGCTGCAGTATAAATGGATTGGACTTCATTTGATGTGTAATTCCATCTATAAATGGATCATGGAAACTAGTCGGTCTTTTAGCCCCTTGATCTTCTGCTTTCTTTTTTTTGGTAAGATCACATCTGATCTGTGATCTGTGTCCATTTACTTGCCATTTGGCTCCAATCTTCACAGTTAAAATTAATTAATCTGACACTAACTGCAATTTTCAAAAGAAAGTGGACAATGATCCCAAACCAGACCCTTAAATTTGGTTGTGATCCTAATAGCTTTTTGTTCAAAGTACACTAAATTTTATTGAACAGAACAAAGCTACTAGATTCTATGCCATTAAACAAAAGCAATTTTTACTCTACAAAGTTAAAGGAGAGAATTGACCATTTGTTTTCAATTCGTGCCAATTCTGAATGTTTAAGGAAGGGTCACTGTACCTGACATGTTAACTGATTTCTCTCCACAGGTGCTGTCCGACCCTGCTGAGCTTTTCCAGCAATTTGTTTTCGCTGGCTGTTTGAGTATGTGAATTAATGTACAAGCTGTGGTCAAACCTGCTACAAGCTGCACATTAAATGATGGAACCAATATGCCAGAATTTTCTGAACAACCTGTTCTTCTGTTGGTGAACTCCAGTCTCTCATTCTTTGAAACTGTTTCCTTCACAAGGTATTTGAGCTGCTTTTCTGACGTTCTACCCTCAGCAGCTGTTCCAACTCTCACTGTACCAATGACTGCTCACCTGACAGTTGTTCAGCCCCTTTGGAAAATCCAGCATCCTACTGGATTTGCAAGGCTACATGCTAGTGTCTAGCTATGGGCAATTTTCCAGCTCTCTAGCTTCAGTTTACTGACCTGCTCTGCATAGGTATTTCCTGCTAGCTCTATAGAAGATGACTCCCTTTCAACTGCACTGAGGTGATGAGTGCCCCGGGGTTCCTGAGCCCCAACTGCCCAATAGCACGTGGCCAGTGGCCTTCTGCCTTCTTCAGTCCTGGCAGACTTTTTTGAGCCCCAGCTGTGTGGAACCAGCAAAGACTAGTACTGTTGTTGCATGGAGACTCTTTGCTCCTGATTTTGTGAGATTTTTCTTTTAAACTGGTCTCCTGTGCCCCTTGTACTGATCTGTGTGATCCATTAAAACTGTCCAACAGGGTTCTTATCCAATTCTGCCTTGTAATGATGTATCAACCCTTGGAACGTTAAGTCATGAGTTACAGCCTCATGACTTTCAGAATGTAGACCAAAAATGAAATTGATTTCATCACCAGTGCCAGTTTTCTATCACGGTCCTTGCATGTAGATATTCACTCCTGATATGGATGGTGCCAACATTTAAGCCATGTCCCTTAATCCTGGACTCTGCTCAGGAATTGACAGACTGCTGTGTTTATAGCTGACAGCCTCTGGCAGAAAGCAATTGTTGCTACTGGTAGAAGGTTCTTCAAAGACTTCTGGAATTTGTTTTTGTTGCCAGCTCATCTTGGCAGTAAGGCTTCCATCGTTCATCAAGTCCAGAAGTAGATTTATGCCAAGGATGCAGCTAAGTGCAGATATGCAAAAGTAAAAAGTTCCAAATCAAATGGGTTTAGTTTTCATAATGGATGACCAAACTAGCTGGAGGGCCAATGGAACCTGTGAGCTATGTTATCTGTCTGAAGCCTTTCTTTTCCCTTGTTGCTTGTCTGTGTTTTGGATGACATGTTAAATGGAAGCCAAGATCTCACTGACATCTGCCAAAATATATCCCTGTGACAATATCACTGAACAGCAGATCATCTAATCATGATCATGTTCCTGTTTGGGATCTTGCCATGTGCATATGTGCAACATCTCTCATTGTCACAAGTGTGTTGGATGTAAGACATGCGTGGGACATCCGGAGATTTTGGGAAGGTGCTATATAAATGCAAGTTTATATTTGTTTGTGCTTAAGAGCCTGGAAGTTGTTTGCTTGACATAGTGCCTCCCTAACTATAGTATCAACAATTACTAGACATACAAGTCAATAGATATTTGTTTTTTTTATTGCTGAGTTTAACCCATTTTACAATCAATGGTTTAACTGACACTAAGTTTAAAACTTTTTTTTTATGTCTTACCTGGTAGTTGCTGTGAACTGGAGTTGGAGCTTTAAAGAAACTGTGTGCCCAAGAAACTGGATGAGAATAAAGCCCAATGGCACCAGGCAAAACAGCACCAAATTACTAAGTTCTTCTGGGAGAGAGTGCCAGATTGAAATGGCTTCTGCCTTGTTCTGCATTTTTAATTTTTGGATTAAAGCATTTCACCTAAAGATGAGAAAATGTGGGAATGACGAGACTTGATTCATGGCCACTGTGATTAACCTCCACTGCGTCCAAGCAATTACACAAGACTGAAACCAATTTTCAATTCCTGTTGCTTCACGTGAACTTGAGTCTCCATGGGTTTGTCAATGTAATATATCAATGTTCTGAATGACTGGCATTCTAAACAGCCTCCTTCAGATGGTTAATTGAAAATTGGCCCTAAAGCTATGTTTTAAAGTGGTGTAGAACTGGCTACTGGCTCTGCGTAGGATAAAAAGGAGACTGGAACTTTTATACAGGTCTTTCTGAACTTCAGTATCCCAAAGCACTTCACAGCTGAAGTTCTTCCTAAAGTGTAGTTGCTGTTGAATTGCAGGGAAGATCTTGGCCAATTTGCAAACAATAATGCAATGGTGATTAGATTTAATCTATGTTGGCTGAAGGAGGGCTTTCTCTTATGGTGCAGTGGTAATGTCCCTACCTCAGCTGCAGGCCCAGGTTTGGTCCAACCTGCCCCAGAAGCATGTAATAATGTCTGTTCAAAGTATCTTGTGTTGTCTGAAGGATAAGTATTGGGCTGAATAAGGGGTGTGGGAGATGGAAATATTCTCTACTCTTCAAAGTTAGTGTCATGGAGTCTTCAAAGCAGTAGCATAGATCTTTCTGCCAAGTTTAAAAGATGTGGGGGGGGTCTTGATTTTTACACTTTCATCTGAAGGAGGTCACTTAATTTTGTGCTGACATTTAGATTGGAGCTCTGACATGACAGGAGTGCTCCCACTGAAATAAAAACAGTGCTGGAGAAACCTAGTGGGTCTGGCAGCTTCTGTGGAGAGAGAAGCAGTTTAAGACACTTTTTTAAGCCCGGTGTGAATCTTTTTCAGAACACGTTCTGTCCTAATTATGGTGCCTT